GGATTTTATAATGATTGGTCTAAACATGCTCTGCTCTATCCCGACTTACTAATTTCTCTTTGTTCTTATTGTAGTCTTGTTTCTCATTTAGGCTTTTGATAAAAATTTTCCACTTCAGTTCGGCAGTACACTATAAATGTAAGGTCACCTAATATGATAAACATGGTTCTTTTATCAGCTTGTTTTACAAACGGTACGTCGATTATAATTTGTTCATAATTTGTATATTATTGTGTCTCTGGTGATATAGCGCGATAAACTAGCCCTCTATAGATTGGAGGAATAACGAACTCGAACGAACTTCACAAAGTCTAGCGACAACAGCGCAAAATGATGCGTGGAAGAAAAGTGATTTTTTAATCCTCCAGGTATCCTATCACCCAGTACAGTTTTGTTTTGAAATAATCATGCAGTGCGAGAAATTGTGCTTGAATTCAAAAACAAAAATCTGAAAATGATCCGTAGTTTATCTGAAAATAATAAATACTGGTCGCTAGGCTTGTGACAAATTCATTCAGAAATGGATAAAATGAATATGTGGTTAGGAATTCTGCCATGTTCTTAGGTTTGTTCCACAAGGCTATCATGCAAAGTGGAACTGCTTTGAATTCCTGGGCCCGAGGTAGAAGAAATGCCCTTGACATTGCTGCAGGAATGGGTTACGATGATACCGATGAAAAGTCTATATTAGAAAAACTCCGAAGAGCCACAACGAAAAGTTTAGTGAATGCCGCATTCAAAAATGGGGAAGTGAGTAAATTCAATTGTTTTTCACAGATATCATAAAAAGGATTTCAATATTGAAACGGATCGTTGATTCAGTGGCTCACTAAAATCTGAATACATTGGTCAGTTAACTTTGACATTTTTCATGTTTCAAATAACTCAAGTTCTATTGAATAGTTTATCAATAGGCTCTCATTTATCAATGAAGTGAATTCTCTCTAAGTTCCAGTGACACTGTTTTGTTTTCTTTTTTTAGAAATTTGAACCCGGTCAGGTGCGCCCCTTCGGTCCAGTTATCGAATATCCACACGAAGGAGCATTTTTGAGCGAAGAACCAATCGAAATAATAAAGTCTGGAAGAAGTCATCAGGTCCCAATGATCATAGGTTACAACTCTTTGGAAGGAATGCTGTATGGATTCATCCGCAAAATGAACAATTGTGGACCACTGTCTGAAAGTATCGAGAAAGATATACCATATGACATGAATATTTCACACAACAAACAGTTGGTGAAAGAAGTAACTAAGAAAATTAAGGATTTCTACTATAAAGACGCTGAAATTTCTGAAGAAAATATTAAAATCAAGTATACGGTTAGTATATGAGCTTTCGAAACATTATGATCATTATAAGTTATCGAATGGTCCTCAGCGATAATCAACAATAGTTCGATAGAGCGAGTCACCTTTCCATTCATCATAAAGTTTTCTACAAAATAACGTCNGGTCGATAAAAAAATTGATTTTTTCTTTTACAAAAAATGACTTCCTTTGAATATTTTTATTGACTTTTTTATGAGTTTGAAATCTTCCAGTCTCTCCGCACACAATTCAATAGCGTAAATTTCCGCTTCAAATACAGTTGCGTTGGTTCCTAGGCATGTAGATATCTCTGTCCTGGCTCCAGTGGGAACCGCGCCTTATTCAAATTTGGTTCGAGGTGCAGCAAAACTTTGCCGCATCGTCCCGAAATAGTATCATTATTTTATTCTAGTCTAGTTCACGAGTTGAAAATGGTGAAAAGTAGATATAATGGTCAGAAAAATACGTACGATGGCTCATTGGAACCGAAATGATATTTAGGAAAATGTGCTGAAACCGTTGAGATCTTTGAAAGAAGATCCTTGAATAGGGGAACATTTTCAAAATAAGTCTCACCTCCCGAAACTATACCTCTATTATTTATAATTTTAATTAAAATTTGTTTAAAATCTGTTTATCCGTTAATCAGCTGTCGCCCCCCTATGAAAGACAACTCTCATAAGTTGAGAAACTTGTACGAACTAAGGACTAACGAGGTTTTACCTTTCAACGTGTAATTCCTAACACGGAAATAGGCCGAAAATAGGCCTCTGTGGATGAATTTGGGGATACGGACGCGGCATCTGAAGCAAGTACGTCACAAAAAATATTTTTTCGGTATCAAATATTCGATTTGGAAATTTAAGA